TGTAGATTACAAATTTCAGCCGGACAATGAATGATATGGGACAGCCTTTTAAAACATCAGAGAGAAGTGTCCTAAAAGGGGGAACAGCCATGGAATAAGTGCCTTGACTTGGAGAACTCAGAATATCCTAAGAGTTGACAGAAAGCCAATGTAACTGAAACAGTGATAACAAGAAGTATATAAATAAATATATATATATTTAAGCACATGTACACACACACACACACAGAGAGAGAGAGAGAGAGAGAGAGAGAGAGAGAGAGAGAGAGAGAGAGAGAGAGAGAGAGAGAGAGAGAGAGACATTATGATCCTGGTTGTGGAGGTAGCTGAGCTTTAGAAGATTTTCCAGGCATCCATGAAGCCCTGGTTGGATTCTCAGCACAGCAGAAACTCATGGAGGCAGCCCACACCTGTGATCCAGCAGCAGTGGAGGAAGAGGGAACACAAATTCACTATTGTCTTTGACTAAAAGGGACTTTCAGGACAACCTGAATTACATAGTGTCTCAGAACCAAAGTAGAAACACAACACCCACAACAAAACTGAAATGATCATCCTAACTCCATTCAGTAAAGCCTAATGTTAATAAATTCCAATTACCTACAAGTCTTCACCCAAATGGGTGTGGGGACAGCATCCTACACCCACACCCCAAACAGATCTGGTTTGGTTGGTTATTAGTTTATGCATTTATTTGGTTTGTAGGAGTGAGGACACCCTCAAAATTTACATTTGCTTCTGGAAACTTGCTTGAACAATATATTACCCTCTAATTGCAGATGGGAAAGAACTCAAATCGAGTTTTATGTTTTATACAACTCCTGCACTCTGGGAGCCTCCGTGGAAATTTTAGTAACAACTGAAAGGTGGACCTGGGTATGGAAAAGCTTGACTTTAACTTTTTAAAGATCTCATCTCACCATGCATCTGGCCAGAAACATTCTCTCTCTAACGTTTCTGCCATATAACACAGATCCACCTGCCTCTGCCTCCCCAGTGCTGGGAACAAAGTTGTGCACCACCATCTCCTGCACTCCTTAAACTTTTGGAAGCAGACACTTTGAACTAGATTTACTTTTTTCAAATCCACCATCCTCATTTGGGTTGCTGGAAACATTTATTAGAAAGAAGTAAGTAGAATGGCATTCAGGGTTATAATAAGAGCCAGGTGTCCCCTCTGCCCTTGCTCCAGGGACTCCTGGTTTCCACAGTTTGTTCTTCTTTCTGGAGTGCAGTTTATTCCCCTGTAAACTGAGAGGGTTGGTCCAGATATTAAAGTTCCTTAACTCAAAAGTAGCATGGTCCCCAGGCCTAGAGTCACACTTCAAGTGAAGATCTTTGTTGCACTTGGAAAACAGCCCAGGGCACATTAGCAATGCTCCCACTCACTTAAGTTCTCCTATACTTTGCATCAGTGAGTAGATGCTATCTAATAGGTGGATTGGAGGACTGGAGAGACTCGATTTTCACACAGAATAGGTGAAAATATGGCCCAGAGATGAGGATGGACTTATAAGGCAGATTCCTCTATCTTTAAATAGCTCTGGAAGCATCCCTCACCAGCAGGGGACAAGAAGGAGAAACTGGAACAAGAAGTTTCCACTCTCTCTTAAGTGACAGGTAAGCAGGGTCTTCTACAGACCCATGTTAGAGAGAAGCAGAGCATAGTGCTCTGTGGAGTTTCTTTATCATATGGAATTGTATATGTGATAATGTGGGGACATTAGGACAACTTAGCATCCAATAGAATTCTCAGGATTCTTGGAAGGTGGATCTTCATTTAAATGGAATGGTGGACTTTGTGGATGAGCCATTAAAGCCTTCTTAAGCAAAGTTGACATGAGAAATACGATTAAAAATAACTGTAGAAAATAGATTGGTACTCCTGGTATCTATAAGTTGTACATAGCATTATATAACATAGAAATTGGAATGGGGAGATGAGGGCATAGATATATTGCTCTTCATTGACTTTTGTGGTTGACAGATGAGGAGATTTATGTAGAAAATAGCTGTATGTGGTGTGAAGAAGACCCTCAATTGGCTGCAGACATTTGAGGTTTTGTGTTAGCGGTGAGGTAGCCAAGGGCAGGAGTAACGAAATTTGGCTTTAGCTGGAGTGTTGGAGATGGGAAGGGGGCGGTCATTCTGGGAAGATGAGCAGTTTTTAGACTTGGACTTGTTCTTCAATGACTGGGAAGTCACTGAATTCTTTAACCATAGAGGAAATATTAAAAGAAAAGCTTTAAAATGAGTTTTCAAATATTCATATGTTAAAGGGATTCCTCCAACGCCCCCCCCCACACACACACACCTGCCCAGCCCCAGCCAGGACCTGTTAGAGTCTGGGGCCCTTCTTCCTGGGCTGTCTGTCTGTCTGCCTGTCCTTATCATGAATTTCACACCACTCAAGTGCTGCTGACTGTGTTTTCACTGCCCTGAAGCCCCTCCCACCACCACATCCCTCCCCTATGCATACAGAGACCTTAAAACAAGGATCAGATAATAGAGCAAATATGCCTCAGTGGGTACTGATTAGATTCTCACAACTGTGAAGTCTTATTCTGAACTTAACTTTTTATTACAGGTGTGTGTGTGTGTGTGTGTGTGTGTAGGTCAAAGAACAACTTCCAGGAGTCTATTTTAATCTTTTACCAATTAGTTCTTGGGGATTATGTAACTCATGTTATGAAGCTTAGCAGGAACTGACTTTACATACTAAGCCATCTCTCTGGCCCCTGATGGTGAACACCATCAACCCACAGCTTCTGCAGACACCCTTGGACCCCACTCATATCTAAGCTGCCACTGTTTACTGAAGTGTTGGACATCACCTTTTCGTTACTCAGAAAGACTCTTCTTCCTCTTTGTCAAGAAAGCAACTCAAGAGCTAAGGCAGAATGATGGTGAATTCAATACCTAGCTTAAATAGTCTTCAGATCATTCATACACACAGTGTTATGGGATTTGCTTTTGTTTTTGAGTTGGAGGATTTCATTGCAATCCTCTTTTCTAAGCCTACTGATTGCTAATATGATATGCATAAAATTATTATATCTGATATGTTCATTTTATTTTAAGACATGCCTTCATGTATCTTGGGCTGGCTTAGAGATTGATAGGTAACTAAAGATGACCTTGAAGTTATAATCATCTACTTCCTAAGTTCTTGAATTACAGTCACACACCACAATTCCTGGTTTGTCTGGTATGGAAGATGGAACCAGAGGTTCGTTCACAATAGGCAGCTGTCTACCACTGGTACTTTTATTATTTAACAAAGAAAGAAAGAAGCCCTAGGGTGATGGCAAATACTTTCAATCACAGCCCTTGGGGGATGGAGACACAGGATCAAGGTTTCAAGCCCAGTTTTGAGTCCCAAAGATATCACACACCAACATAAACAAACTCCAGACTATCTCCTCCAAACCCCATGGAGGGAGAAGCTCCTTCCTTCCCTGCTGACATCTCAGGCTTGAGTAACTCATCCTCTTTTGCTCCCAGCATATTGCTTTGCCTTCTGGGCCCAAAGACATGAGTGCCTTGGTTTCATTGATCATATTGCTTTCTATTGTCTCTTCCACACTGAAATACTGCCACAATGTGCCCTTGCTTGTCTGCCTGGTAGTCAGAGCAGTCTCCGGATGGTGCCAGGTGCTGACAGCCCTAAACCTCAGAAATGACACTGCATGACCTTGAAAAAAGGAGAGTGGCTCCTGAGTCCTATTGCCTGTGCCTTGATCCTTTGCATTTGTGTCCCTCCCCTGCCACAGGCACTCTCCTCCATCTGGACCTTTGCCCTCCCTCTTCCTTCTCCCCTGACATCTGTCTCTGGTTGGCTAATTCTCCTTCAACTTTGCTGGACTCCCACCCTCTCTGTGAAAGTATTAGGAAGTCCATTTGGGCCCGACTGCCCAAGTTAAAATTGCACCCATACCCATCTGGTCCTGCCACCAATGCTCCCTTAGCTTGCTCTATGCTTTCCTTGTTGTTTTCCTGCTCTGCTCATGGGTTCATTTATATATAGTAAGAGTGCATTCTATATTTTCAATGGTTTATAAACAAGTCTTTATTTCCTATTTAGATACCAGCTACATGAGACAAAAGGTCTTTGATTCATTGATAGAGTCTAGATTAATAGAACCATATGTAAACAAATAAATGAAACGAGTAAACTTCTTATTATATTAATATTTTCTATAGTAAACTGGATATCTGGTAATTTTATAAATCTATGACGTCAAGGCTATTATAAGCATATTACCATTTTAAGGTTTATAGTTATTGTTTTTAATAGTGTGTTTCTGTATGTGGTGACATGAGTGTGTGTGAGCACATGTATCAGAGGAATGTCTGTGCTTTCTGCATCTCCAGGGATAGTGGTTGTGAGCCTCCCAAAGCAGGTGCTGGGAAACCCCGCCCAGGTTTTATATAAAAGCAGTGGACATTCTTAGCCATGAGTCATCGTAGAAGCCTAACATTAATGTTTAGCTAGAATAGTATTTGTTCATACTCCCTCAGGCTCAATCTATTAGTAGTTGCAGTGGAACTAAAATGAAAAATTTCAAAACCCTGATCTTGGCCTATATGGGACAATGGGCTTAGATACAACACCTCTATTCTTCCCAGGCCATCTTGCTAATAATGAACTTGATTGAGGCTTAGGAACCAACCTCTCCAGTTACTTCCAGGAGCAGCCTGATCACCAGAGGGCAAGTAGACAGCCATTAGAAGATTGGTTCTTGCTTAGGGTTCTACAAAGGAATCACCCTCTTGTCTCTGCCTTCAAATTTTCTCTGTTTACCATCTTATTTGTGCCGAGACCAGGAGAGAGGCTGATGGCTATATGTGGGGAAGGACCAGGAAGAGGAGGCTGTTTGGGAAGACAGGGGTCCCTAACAGAGAGGCCTATATGATTCATGCATTCAGAACTTCTCAGATACAGTGCGGATAGTGGCTGCCAACCATAGTGTCTTGTCATTGTCCTTCAGGTCACCATCATGATGCATCCTCAAGTCCTCCTATCAGGCCTTTTACTCCTTCTCCCAGGTAAGTGAGAGGTGAGCTGGGGACGGCTAGGAGGATGGAGGTTCAGATGAAACATTCCCTGGGGTCTATATTACAGGTTACGTAGTAAGCAATGAACCTGGATGAAACTGTAGCTCCAAAGACATTTCTTAACCTACAAGAATTTCAAAATTTATGCCTAAAAAGTCAGACCCGCAAGACTACTACATGTTACATTCAAGTAAGTGTGGATACAGTGCATGCATGTTGTAGGCAATGCATGAGGGCTGAAGGCAGGACACGGAAGGGCAACCTAATCTTCATTTGGCCCATATGCTGTATAAAAAGAACACTCCTTTTCAATTATTGTATTAAAAACAATAATTGAAAAAATTCTATGTTAGTGAATTGCATACCAATTTTTTGAGGCAAGGTCTAAGGCAGCCTAAGCTGCCCCACCCATACAATGGACAACTGGGAATGACCTCAATGCTTCCCAAGAGCTAAGATTATAGAAGTGTGCCCCTACACCTGCTATATATTCTAAATTTTATAATCTAATCTCTAGGAAGTGCGATTGTGGAAGGTCATTAATTCTTATCAAACATTTCTATAACTTTACTATAAAGTTTGTTATCCTAAAAAATTATTAAGCAAAATCAAGTGACAGGTGTCTCAAGGAGAAACACATACCTGTTACATACTCATTTTCTAAAACAAGGAACATGGTTTCTCATACCATGTCCCATACTCATGGCCTAGGCTTAAAGACAAGTATTAGTTAGCTCACTCACTGTTTCGTGCTGTTTGCTTATCTGTTTGTTCCTGTGCTGGGATCCAATCCAGAGGCTGGCATGGGCAAGGTGAGCATGGTACCCGAGAGCTGCATCTTCAACTCTCAGACCTCCCTTACATAGAAGCAATTTGTGTCTCAACAGAGGCATATTAAAATCATTACTTTAGGTTTAAAAGTTGCAAGGATTAGTTCTTGATTTAACATTCTGATTTTGTGGTTGTACTTTATAAGCGAGCCCTGTTCATTTTCTGGAATGTTAACATATAAGCATGGATCCTTGTTCAGGTTTGCATTTTTTTTAATTTTTAAAGAATTGATCCTAAAGCCGCATTCCTCCTGATGTTATTGCAAAACCGATTGTGAGCTTGCCCTGGTGGTGCACAGTTTTAATCCCTGAACTGGGGAGGTAGAGGCAGGCAGATCTCCATGAATTCAGGCAGTCAGAGTTCTAAATACTGAAGCTAGGCAAGGGTTACATAGCAAGACCTTGTCTCAAAAAAAAAAAACCGAAAAGCATATGTGCAAACAAAAGGAACTGGAATTCTGAAAATTATGTTGAAGTTAGTAAAGCTCTGCCTTTACACCAACAATGCTGCAAACAAGACCTAGTCTTTGTATAGGAGAGGTGAGTAAAGTTAGTGGTTTCATTTTCAGCAGCATTGAGGGGAGTTAAGGTCGGTTTGAGGCAGGGTCTCATGAGCCCAGGCTGGTTGTGAATTCCCTAGTTTCCTGACTTCACCTTCGACTTCTAGCTTGGCAGGCACCCATCATCATGCACAACTTCTGGGAGAGCAGCTTTAAAATTTTAAGACTTAGAGCTAATGTCAGCGGTACATGCTTGAAGTCCCATTTCTCAGGATTCTGAGTAAGTATGAGCCAGCCTGAGATACAGAGCAAGATACTGTCTAAAATCAAGCCAACAGGTCAGGCGTGATGATGTGCGCCTTTAATGCAGGCAGTCAGAAGGCAGAGTTAAAGGTGGATCTCCATGGCTTTCAGGCTAGCCTAGTCTACATAGAGAGTTCAAGACTTTTGATAATTATCTATTGATCTCTGCCTCAAAAAGAAAGGAAGGAAGAAAGACAGAAAGAAAGAAACATAAAGGAAGGAAGGAAGGAAGGAAGGAAGGAAGGAAGGAAGGAAGGAAGGAAGGAAGGAAGAGAGGAAGGAAGGAAGGAAGGAGAGACAGGGAAATAAATAAATACAAAAAATTCAAAAGTTCCAGTGTGAATATAATACAGTGTGATAAGTTGCTTTATCCACACGCATAGCTGTTATATAATCACTGGGAAGAACAAGCTAACAGAAAATTGTTTATAGTGAAAATGTTAAGCTATGAAAACTCTACAAAGAAAAATGCAAAGAAGGCCTGGGGCATAATGGTGGAACACATGTCGCCCGTGCCCTATCTCCCGGGGTCAGGCCTCAGTTGAGCCAAAAGGAAAAATGGGAAAGAAACGAAGAAGTAAAATCAATTGTAGGCAAATGATGAGTGCTCATTCTTCAATTCTACTTTCTTTCTTTTTATTTTTTTTAAATCACAGCTGCTGTGTATTGTTTCCCAGAAGTTCATGGAGTTCTGGATCACCCTGTGAAACTGCCATGTACTTATCCAATCTCTAATGGGATCTCATCCATGTGTTGGGGCCGAGGGGAATGCGGGGATACATGTGGACAAACACTTATCTGGGCTGATGGACACAAGATCTACTATCAGACAAACAATCGCTACCAGTTGAAGGGACAGCTTCTTGGAGGGGATGTGTCCTTGACAATAGAGAATACCACTGAGAGTGACAATGGTCTCTACTGCTGTCGAGTGGAAATGAAGGGCCCAAATGGTGTACAGAGACTTACCGTCTCATTGCAAGTTCAGCCAGGTAAGCCGGCCTTGTTGCTCTATGTCTTGCAAGTGAACCGAGTCTCTGTTTGTTAGCTATTTGTTCTTTTCCTAGAACACGGAAATGAAGGTTCTGAAAACCGTGCTTGTGCTTAAACACTTGCTTTTCAGTAATTTCTAAATGGCACAATCTCATGTATCTCAGGTTGTCCTTTAATGACCATGTCCCCACCACCGCCCCACCCCACCCCTGCAGTCCTCCTGCCAATAGCACTCTAGTCCTGATAATTCAGTTGTATACCACCAAATTGTTTATTTATTTATAAGCCCTAAGATCAACTGTAATTCAAGACGAAGAGCTAAGCCAGGACCCAGGTCCTAATTGTACTTAGAGCAGTCTTGTTTTTCCATGAAACTATATCTATTTTCTGTCCTGAAACATAGTGGGGAGCTTTATTTAAACTCTAGTGACTTGAATGAAAGGGTGTCCCTGCCTCTGTGTTAATGTCTTGTGACAGTAAGTCACCTGTCCCCTATACTGTAAAAGCACTACAACTCTAACCTGAAAAGCAGGCGATGCAGGGAGCTGCTGTGCTGATGAGCTGGCTTCAACATGGTCTGCTGACCTTGCTGAGCACTGGCACATGTATAGTGGAGAGTTCTACTCCATGTCTGCTCTGTCTTGGGCCTTTGAAATAGTCTTCACACCATGTCACAAATTATCCTTTTACATACAAAAATGGCCCCTTGAGAAAATATTTCCCTTCCTACACCTGTTCAGTGGTTACTAGTGAGTAGTTCATGAAAGCCCCAGCTCTTAAATCTTTATAGTTTCCTTTGTGGTGTGGACATCCTCTGTGTTTAAAATGATGGGATCAAAACCCCTTGTCACAATGTCCAGCTGCTTGAAATTATTAACAGTGAGCTATTATCAAGCATAGAAATGATTTCACGGGTCAGTGTTTAAAAGTTCTCTGTCTGGCCAGTCAAGGGATTCAAAAGTGATGTTCTGCCTTATCCTTTAACCACCCTTTATTATAATTGCTTGTGTTTTGAACACACCAAGCTTCCTCTCCAGCTGTCCTAGGACCCTCATCAGCTCCTTTGGACTTTCTAATCTACCTAAGAGAAAAAATGCCCCAGAGCAAGATAAACAGCCCTGAGCTGCTGATTTTTTTCCTGGTTTTGTTCTCTTAGTGGTCTTCTGACTAGATTGTTGGCTTGCTTTTCTCCCACCTCAGAGATTTCTAATATCCATGGAAGGTTTATATTGTTCTCACGCCTCTGCCCACACAGTAGACTGGATCAGCAATCCAATAGTTTGGATCTAATATTGTGAATAGGTGTGTGTGTGTGTGTGTGTGTGTGTGTGTGTGTGTGTGTGTGTGTAGTTTTATTGCAGCATAGCCATATCCACTCCTTGCTATGATGTTAGCAGTGATTTTCAAACTGATGACATGAGTGCTTTTTCCTGAACACCTGTGTTTTTGTTCCTGAGCCAAAGACACTTACTATTTGGCCCTTATAGGAAAGAAGCTTGAGGGCCAGTGAGATGACTCAATGGGTGTCTTAACTGTGGTTTCTATTGCTCTGAAAAGACACAATGACTGTGGTAACACTCATAAAGGAAAAACTTTAAATTGGGGTAGCATACATTATCATCTTGGTGCAATATGATGTCGTGCAGGCAGACATGGGGCTGGAAATGAAACTGGGAGTCCTACATCTTGAGGGGGTCGGGGGCTGAGAGGCTGAGAGAGGCAGAAAGACAGAGAGACAAAGAAATAAATAAATAAACATAATTTTTAAATTTTAAAGCAGACTGAACTCTACTTCTACTAGCTTTCTGCATGTTACACGTGAGCATATTTCTTTTCCTTCTTTGAAGGTTAAAACTGTCTTGATTAAAATGGCACCACATCCTTTAAAGATAAGAGTGTTCAAAGTAGTTACTCCCTGTCCCTGGGGCTTTATTTTGTAGTTAGCAGAGTTAGGATCTAAAGAAGCTGTGAAAACTGTCAGCTCACACAAGCACTGTGTGCACTTCCTGGACTTCTCCATGGACTCTTTCCTTCCAGTCACTGTTTTCCCTTAATCCAGTCTTGAATTTCTGTGTACTCTCAGAACATCAGTAAGCTGCTTGGATTCTTAGAGACACTTCTGATTTTTTTTTACTGATTTGTCAATTGCAGGTTAAGCCTGCCTTGTCCCACTATCAGATCTGCAGTGCCTCAAAATCTGAAACCTCTTGGGCATGGCCTTGGTAATAGACCTGGAAAATTCAATGCCATGAAGTAGTAATACACAGAATTAATCAATAGTTTATAAACCTACCTATAAGTTATGTATATAAAGTGAATGATTATAAATGCTGTATCTATCCATATGTAGACTTGAGCTCCATCTGTGAGCTCTATGTAAACTTTACAAAATGTTCAGAACTACACAGATTTTGAAACTCCTGATACCAAAAATTTTTAAATAAGGAATAGTGACCCTGTTTCTCTCATCTTGAAAGAAATCATAGATGGCTGTGTCTCCTCCCTATATAAATATGCAGATCATTTAGTGTTGGGCCATGCATGGGAATACTTATGGGCCAAATAACCTAGTTAGCCTTATGATGCAGCACTGTGTGGTGTGTCCTCACAGAACATACTGCATTGAACATGCTGTGGGTGAACTCTGTCACCATTGAGAAGATGATCTGTCCCAGGGCGCCATATCCTCTCAGTGTCACAGAGATGCTGAGAGAGATCTGAGGATCTGACCCCTGTGGTTTAGAATGTGTTTCAGTTGGAACGTGGGCTCTGTTCTCATCTCCATGTTGTCAGAGCAGCTGCTGCCTGTTGGTGAGCTGTCTCCACTGCCCCACCCTGCAACATCCTACTTATGTTAGTGACAAAGAACAGAAGTTCAGGAGAGGAGCCTCTGCCAGGAAACAGCCTCTCCTTGATGCGCTAGAAAGTGGCTGTGGCGAAGACTCTTCTTTCTTCTTGCTTGGCTGACCCTTGCTTTCATATTCAGGAGTTTCAACAAGTTCATCAAGGAGACTTACAGATACAAGCAGATTCAAATCTGTCGATATACCCAGACCTACTTCAAGGAACACCAAAACTACTCCACGAAAACTCACAACTACTTCCAGGAAACCTATCACTACTCCAAGAAGACCAGCAACAACTAAAAACCCCACAACTACTACAAGGAGACCCTTAACCACTCCAAAATTCACAACTACTCCAAGGAGACCTACAACCATCACAAAACCCACAACTATTCCAAGGAGACCCTCAACAACAATAAAACCTACTACTTCAAGAAGACCCACACCTCCTATAAAACCTACAACTACTCCAAGAAGACCCTCAACTACCACAAAACCCACAACTATTCCAAGGAGGCCATCAACAACCATAAAATCCACAACTACTCCAAGGAGACCCTCAACATCCATAAAACCTACTACTCCAAGAAAACCCACACCTCCTATAAAACCTACAACTACTCCAAGAAGACCCTCCACTACCACAAAACCCACAACTACTCCAAGGAGACCCTCAACTATCACAAAACCCACAACTATTCCAAGAAGACCCTCAACTACCACAAAACCCACAACTATTCCAAGGAGGCCATCAACAACCATAAAATCCACAACTACTCCAAGGAGACCCTCAACATCCATAAAACCTACTACTCCAAGAAAACCCACACCTCCTATAAAACCTACAACTACTCCAAGAAGACCCTCCACTACCACAAAACCCACAACTACTCCAAGGAGACCCTCAACTATCACAAAACCCACAACTATTCCAAGAAGACCCTCAACTACCACAAAACCCACAACTATTCCAAGGAGGCCATCAACAACCATAAAATCCACAACTACTCCACAGAGACCAGCAACTACCACAAAACCCACAACTACTACGAAGAGACCCTCAAGTACTACAAAGAGACCTTCAACTACTACACAACCTACAACTATTCCAAGGAGACCAACAACAACCATAAAACCCATAACTACTCCAACAAGACCCTCAACTAGCAGAAAACCCACAACTACTTCAACAAGACTCACAGATGCTCCAAAATCAACCAGAATTTCTACCTATACTCCTCCACCAACAACAAACACACTTACACTCAAACCAGGTAAAAAGCATGTTTCAGCAATCAGAGAACTTCTCATGGGATGCTGTAGGACATCCTACAGAGAGCAGCAGGGCAGTCCTAAGACCAATCTAGGTGAAGGTTTCTTAGATGGGCTCTGAACAATTACTTCACAATGTCTGTGTTTCTCTGGCCTTTTTATGTTTGTCCTCTGCTATGAAAGAGCTTGAAGATGAAGGACACCATCTCTTTTTATCAGATTCCCAGGAAACTGACTATAGCCATAGTCAGGCTTAGGTTGATCATTGATCTAGGAGACTTGATGAAGATGGTGGGAATCTGGGTTAGTGGGCATGACTTTCTGGGGAAAACTAAAGTAGGAATGACTGAGAGCTAGGGTCAGGAATAGCAGGATTCTGAACCTTTCTCACCCATTCTGAAATGGGACCCTTCAGCTGAGGCAGTAGTGCAGTGAAGCTGACATTTAGCATTTCCTGAGAACTAGGCAACATGTTCCATGCTTTATGATACAGAGTTTAATTCTCAGACAATTATGTCCTATATAGCTGTGATCTGTTCCTATTTTATAGTGATAGGAACTGACAGAGTCAGAAATGTCATGGTAGAGTTATAAAGACCGAAAGTGGCTCAATCTCTGTCCATGTTCCCTTTAGTTGGAAGCTGGTTCTTCTGACTCCAGAGTCAGAACTCTGGCCATGGGCTCTGAGATTTATGTTTGGAGGGTTTATTCTGTATTCAAATCCTCCATGAAGAAGACTTCATCCTTCTCCCTCTTCAGGGGCAGTTGGTGCTTTCTAAAGTTTTGCTTTGAGGATCTTTCAATTTATTTGTAAAGCAGGAAAAGGTAAAAAATGTTTTTAATATATATACTGATGATTTACATGTTGGAGTTAAAGTCCTTAAGGGTTCGGCATGTTCAAGCTTGGACTGGATCCATGGCTCCATAGCTAAAAGCAAGAGTCCTTGTTGAGGAGATCCTGAGTTAGACCCAGGCACCTACATTGCACATCACACAAATGCCTGTAATTCCACTTCCAGGGGATCTGAGACCTTTGGTCTCCATAAGCATTTGCAAGTAAGTCCAGAAACCCACAGACAGATGGCAGATGTATATGCACACAACTTAATATGAAATAAATTTTATGCATATGCTTTGACTGATACCCTAATGTTTATACTTCAAATGTCTGCAGATATGAATTTAGACTTAATAATAATGGATAGTTTGTTAGAGATAAGGAAAAATTTGCAATCCAGAGACAAGGTGGGTCTAAATCTTCTACAACCAGGAGTGAAAAAAAATAATAGATACTTAAAGCTTTTTCTATCCCCTGGTGCAAGGCTGGATTCTGAGAGACAGCAAAAGGGTCACAGATTTTTGTTTTGTTTTTCTAGATTAATCTGCTGGGAAGTGTAGATTTCCTTGGCTCCCAATGGCCTGTGGGTACATCAACTGAAGCACTGGGCTACAAGCAGAGCTTGTAGAGGGCTATAGGTTATAACTGAGATTTTAGAACATAAGGATTTGTGAGAAAAACACTTTGCTCCAGGCAGCTCTACACATTGGGGAACTGTGAGGATCCCCCAGGATTCACAGAACTTTTCAATACTTGGTTTCTGCCTGCTTCAGAGGATAGACTCATGGGCTCTCGAGTTTGGAGAACAAGGATAAGTTACTGACTTCACTGAAAGCTGAGATTTAGAAAAGCAGTGACAGTTGATGTGATCATATGACTATCTGGGACGGTATTAGTTGATTTTTATTTTGTTGAGATAAGATCTTTGTTGAGACAGGATCTCAACTTGACTGGCATGGAAATCATGATGTAGACCAAGTTTGCCTTGAAGTCACTGAGATCTCCCTGTCTCTGCCTCTAGTGATAAAAGGTGTTTGCCATCATGCCTGTTAGTGTTGAATTAAAATTTTACCTTCTTTCACATTTGAGTCACTCTTACACCTGGAAAGTTGTGCTTAAGGTCCTAGGTCACAACAGAGTCAAGACTGTAGATGCTACCTAACCTAGTCATTGTCTTTGACTCCTTGGAAGTGAGTCCCCAATGAGTAAAAACTGTAAGCTTAGTAATGTGACAATGTGGAGGGCTATAAGTCATCAAACTTTACTCATGTTGGGCAATGCCAACTTTAGCAGTAATTGGGGACTTCCATAGAACTGTAGTATTACCACTCATGTTTTGGGCTGTGTGTGTGTGTGTGTGTGTGTGTGTGTGTGTGTGTGTGTGTGTGTGTGTGTACTGCGAGCAGATACTTCTGTCATTTGGTAAAACTACAAATGTAGAAGCATCCAATGTATGTTTTTTCAAGAGCTAAATGAAACAGGTACTCAAGGTTAGGATGTAAAGCATTTGTTCATTGCTGTTACTCAGCAGAATGATAATTCTGTATACACAGATGTTAGAAAGCTTAAAAATTATAATCTGTTCCCCCAAATAAGGTATTTCAGAAACACCCCAATATATGAGTGGAGTTCAGTGACACTCCTGTCACATGAAATCCCAATGTGTCACATGGTGTCTCGTGGGTGATACTATAGCTGATTTCTGAAGCAACTGGGATCCAAGCCAAGGCTACTGATGTATTAGATAAGAACACAAGAGCTGTTTTGGATGCTGTGGTGGTTCCACTCATTTTGAGAAGCGTCATCCTGACCTTTCAGTATGTGTGTGGCCTGTGTGTGCTTAGCAACCTCAGATAACATGGAAGAATTGATGAGGTGGGACCTTGAACTATTCCAAAACTAAGTGCTCTGGCTCACCTACATTTAAAGAAGAAGAAGAAGAAGAAGAAGAAGAAGAAGAAGAAGAAGAAGAAGAAGAAGAAGAAGAAGAAGAAGAAGAATTTTCCTTGAAGCCAGAACAGAAAGTTTAAGACATATAGCTTCCTAGATAAATTTAACAAAATATTAGCACTTAGTGAGATGCACTTCGTGCCTACGATATTCGTTCGTGCTGTTTAAGTTTCAACACATCATAGAAGCTATTGTGAATATGTGTAGTGCCTATAATACAAATCTAACACTTTTCTAATGACCATTTTCATTCCTTTTAAGCAGATTACACAGACTTTGTGACATCTTCCCACCGTTCTTGGAGTAATCACACTGTAAGTATCTCCTTACCTGTGTTAATGGCGAGATTCATTGTCTATATTCCTGAAATCATGTTGCATTTAAAGACTTGTAAATGAATTTAGTTCACAGACTTTTGTCTCAAAAGAAGAAGAAATAGAAGAAGAGAAAAAGAGTCAAGCATAATTGTTTATTCCCTCATCGTAGGATTCAGGAAGCTGTCACAGGGGATGCCAAATTGAGGATAGTCTGGATTAGCAGGTCAGCTTGAGTTACACAGTGAGACCTTGTCTCAAAAATCCCAGAGAGACAAAGACAGTATTAATTGTACAATAATAAATCCACTGTAAAGAGAAGAATTTGATCTTAAAAGGTTGTTGTATTTATTTTGATGGGCAAGTTTATTAGAGCTGCATAATAAATGATATTTTGCAAATCAATGGAGGGAGGTAAGGACACAGAGAGTTATTGTCCACAGTTAAAATAAAAAGAATGAACTTACTAGAGGAGAATAAACTAACATACCATATTTATGTGTCCTAGTGCAACATGAGAAACCATCATGCCATGTTGAAAATATTGTTAATTAAGCAGACTTGTGCTGTTTTTAGCACAACCCTGCATGATAAAGTTGTACCTGAACTGTGTTAACTGCAATACAGTCATCTGTACCAGCAAGAAGGAATAGTTTAGAATTGAATTCAAAACAAGAATTAGCAAAATCTGGACTCTGGAGCTGTCTGTCTGCCTCTAATTGCATTGAGAGCAGTGCACAGAGATATCGTAGTGTGCTGGTATGCAGGTTTTTAGTTTGTTTTTGAGACAGAGTCTCCCAGAGACCAGCTAGCCTTGAATTCTCTATGGAGCTGAGAATGATCATGAACTCCAGAACCTCTTGTCTCTACTTCTCAAGTTCTGGGATTTTTAGGTATGCGCCCCCATGACTAGCAACAGCAGCATACATTTTTAACCTTTAGATTAACTCCCTGGACTCTGTCTCACAAAGAGATTGAAAAAAACATATGGAAAGATGTGTGAGACAGGTTGGCCATTGCTGCCATTCATAATCTAAAAATGTTATGAAGTAAATGTCCGTGTGGATACGGTCCACAAGACTGTGATCCAGGCACTCAGGAGGTGTAGAGATGAGGATCAGAAGTTCATTATATTGGTTACCTAGTGACTGCCAGGCCAGTCTAGGGTACATGAGACCCTTTCTCAAAACCAACACACATTACTTTATATCCCCACAGTGTTTTTCAAGAATACCTGAGAATCTCTTTCCTGAGAACCCACTGAACACGTTGTTTGAGGACATAGAGTCAGGGCTCACAGAGCTTAACTAACTTGTCTATGCTCCTGCTGACTAAGCAAAGGAGCCAGGATTGTGAGTCCAGAGATGAGGCTCATACACAGCCAAAGACCTTGTCTCTGGTCCTCACTTTCCTTGCAGTTAAACCCACCATGGGCTCTGGTGAGGGTTAGTAGATTAATGCTAAGCTATTAGAGGGGCCTCACCTACTGCCCAGCCTGTCTCCTGCTTATTCCAGTATGTGCTGATCCCTGATCACCTGCATCTGGGCCCTAGGGGAGATTCCTCATTTCTGTCTGATCACAGGGTGTTAATCAGGCTGCATCCAGGAACAGCTTCTTCTGAATGTTTATAAAGATGTAGATCTTCCTGGGCATAGGGACCCATGGCTTTAATTCCTGTCATCAGGGGGCAGAAACATGTGCATCTCTGAGTCAGAGGTCAGGCTGGTCTTCGCAGAGAGTTTCAGGCTAGCTGTGACTTGGCTACAAAGTAAGAAGTGAGACACAGTCTCAAAAAAAGTGGAATCAAGAATTGCCTTTTGTAAGAGTATTGGGATCTGTGAGGAAAGACCAGGCTCAGCAGCTGAGCACACTCTGAAAACATCAGAGCACCAACTTAGGTAGGAACCATTGTTTTTTAATAGAGGAATAACCTAGTGAATATTAGTGAATATCACAAAATATGCAACCACGTTGTCACGTCAAACCTCATAGAAAACATTTCCATCCTTTTCCTAGACACTTTGAATCTTGCACTGTCTAGAGTTGAACAGTTCAGTACCAGCTCGGGTTGTTTGATTTTTACTTTCATGCTCTAGTCTATTTTATTTAAACATGCGATCTCTCCATGTGACCCTGGCTGTCCCGGAACTGCTATGCATTCTTGGAACTGTCTGCCTCTGCCTCTGCCTCTGCCTCTGCCTCTGCCTCTGCCTCTGCCTCTGCCTCTGCCTCTGCCTCTGCCTCTGCCTCTGCCTCTGCAGTACTGGGAATCAAGGTACACAGTCCCACATACTTGCTTGTTCTAGAGTAGAAGGAAAGTCTACATTGAGGACTAGGATGTATTTTCTGCTCATCTCATTTGGTGCCTCTTCAATGATTGATGTTTCCTTAGGAAGTGGCCCCCACATCTCACCCCCTGAAGATCTCCACTATGGGCCTCTATATTGGAATCTCTGTGTCCACTGGGGTGCTGCTTCTCACGAGCATCCTGTTGGCCATAAGTGAGTAATTTTATCAAGACTTCAGGGTTAGGAATGGGAATGGGTCTCCCTGAGAAATGAGCACAAAATCCAAGGAATTTTGACAGAGCAAATCTTTTATACCAGGCCGGGCAGTAGTGCACACCTTTATCCCAGCAATAAGGAAGCAGAGGCAGGCAGAACTCTGTGAGTTTGAGGCCAGCCTGATCTACAGAGAGAGTTCCAGGACATGCTCCAAAGCTACACAGACAAACCCTGTCTGGAAAATCAAAATCAAAACAAACATAGAACCTTTTACCCCTGTAGCATAGTATAAAATCACTTTAAACCCACTGAGCAAATTATGCCTGCCTCTGAGTGCTGAGAGCTTGGCTTCACATTCTATGAGACCAGCCATGTAAAGCTGTGCAGTGACTGGAGAGAATGGTGTCTGAATATAGATTCTGACCCTAGGAAAATGCTTACTCCACAGATATTCTTGCTAAATGGTGTCTTCCCACTTTTCTTTCAAGATGGCAGTTCCTCTAACTTATTTATTCCTTCGGTAGGAGACAGTATGTTTCATTTATATTTCCCAGACCTAGTAACTAGAGCAAGGATTCTTAGCCACTGTGACTGGATTCAAGGAACTCCACATGCCATGGGGTTACATTCCACATGACTGCTCTATGTTCCCCAATCCAAGATACATATAGTAGTCCTTCTGAATTCCAGGCATGTGTTTCTACATACTACGCCCTGAGATTATTCCCAGCACTTAGGAAATGTTCAGTGACCACTGTTACAGCATCATAAAGTTTCCTGTTACATATACCTTGTAAAACTTAAATACTGGTGGCTTTTTTTCTGAGTACCAGTGTTTGTTTGATTTGTATCCTTTGGCATTTTCGAGACAGGATCTTGTACATCCCAGGCTGGCATGGAACTTACAGTGTAGCTGAGGCCAGCGTTGAACTTTTTAATCTTCTACCATCCATGTGCTGTACTTACAAGCATATGCTTTATGTTTCCTTTGTTGGTCACCTGAAGAGAAAATTTAAACTCAAGTTTTCCACAAATGAATTTAATGTGGGGCTGGAAAGGTGGCTCTTCACTTAGAAGTATGTACTGCACTTACAGAGGATGTGAGTTCCATCCCAGTTCCTGGATGGGTGACTCATAACTGCCTGTAACCACAGCTCTACTTGATGCCTCCATAGGATGCCTCCACTTTAGCAGGTTCCTGGTCTAGAGTGTATATATATACACATACACATACACATACACACGCTCGCACGCATGCATGCACGCATGCATGCACGCACGCACACACATACACACACACACACACAGAGCGAGAGCGAGAGCGAGAGCGAGAGAGAGAGAGAGAGAGAGAGAGAGAGAGAGAGAGAGAGAGAGAGAGAGAGAGAGTTCTTGCACAGGGTGAGATCTTGATGGCAGCACACCTTCACAAGACCTATGGTGTGTTCTGCCTTAGCCTGGAAATCTGGTTTTGACCATGTGATATTTATGAGTGTTCTGGAACGTATATTTAATAGAAGAGGCAAATGAAGCATTGGAAGGGGAAACTACATGGCTAATGCTAAAACAGAGTTCTTTGAGGATGGAATCCATACCTCAAGACCATTTCCTGCTGAGATTGAGAGAGCAAGCTCAGTGTTTCTGTCTGTGTAATCCACTCCCTGCGTAAGACCCTAACTCGTCAACTGTTCAAGACCTCACACATGAGCTCATTACTGATCTGTCTCACATTACTGGACAGTATAGCCTACTTTAGTGACATTTTAAAGGGTCTTTGATGGAAGAGACCATTAGTAGGACCTTGTGTTTCAGGCCATCTGGAGATTTCACGTTTAGCTTGTTCTCCAGCAGCCAATTTACAAACCTACACTTCATTTTTTTTTCAGTGAAAGACAATTTTAAAATGCCATGCTAGCACATTAGGGATGCTGTGTGTGTGAGGGCACCAGTCTGTGAATGAAGAGAAAAATCTTCCTGTAGGGTGTAGGAAGGAACCTCTCAACATTATAAGGGAACAGTTTAATTGAAAACAGAAATAATACCCTACTTAGAAGAAAATATAATGAATGTGTTGATGACATGTTCAATTTTCCTTTCAACTCCCCACTCCCCCCACTCCATTTCAGAGTGCAGTCACAGGAGAAAGAAGAAAAAGAGGTAAGTTGTCTCGGCTTTGCCAATTGCTTTGGAACTTGTGGTCTTGTAGATTTCTCCTTGTTCCTTTTTTCCTTTTATCCTCTTTCTCCTTCTCCTCTTTTTTTATTTACTTATTTTTAATTAAAGTGTTCCTCATATTACCCATTTTGGTCATGTTCCTTTCCACCCACCAACTAACTCCTCTTAGATCACATCACTTTCTACCTACCCTATGTTATATTCTCTCTATCTCAACAAAAGGAAAAAAAACAGATGAAACCATAATACAAAAATGAAGATCAAAACAAAAGAAAAAGACTTTTGTTCTGTCAGTTGTCACATTCGCTCACCTGAGCTTTCTGACCCTAACATGGTTCTGTACATGTACGTTTGCTACCCACCCACGGGAGAAAAGCTTTGTCCCATCTTCTTTGTAAATGGCAGCACAAGTGTTCTTCATGTGGCTGACTGGTTCTACATTTCAGCAGTAGAGATGGCCATTGTACAAAAGACAAAACTGCACTCTGTCAAAACACTACCCATGAGTTAAAGTTAGTCCATTTTCTACTCTGAGTTGCTACTCACATAGCAGTCCACTGTGGCCATCAGAGTAAAATCCCCTCCCACACATAATGGGAAAGGACGGCCCACAAACACCAGTAGTTCTTTCCCCAAATTAGTCCCTCTCCCGACAGTGCCTGATGTTTTTGCGCATGTGTTGCGTGAGCGTGTGCCACACTATGAACTTTGCAACTGCTTCCCAGACCACCAGCCCTGTGGAAAGGGCCTGTTTCCTTGTTTTACACATTTCCCCTCTATGTTAGCATTAGTGTGTGCAGATACTATTTTAAAACCATTTCTTTTTTAAACAAGAATTATTTATTATTGTGGTGGGAGGTGATGTTGCTATTGTTGGTGAGCGTGTGTGTACACATGCAGTTCAATGGCATCTGTGAAGGTCACAGGACAGCTTTCTGAAGCTGGCTGTCTCCTTCTACCTTTCTGTGGGTCCAGGGATCTAGCATGGGTCACCAGGCCCTCCTAACCCTTTCTAAAGGACTACAATCCTACGCTAAATATACGAGTCATCTAGTCCTTAGCCCTGCTCCAAAGTGCACACCCTGATTGATTAGGTAACTAGGTTTGATGTTGGGTATCTGTCTTTTTAGACATTGTACTTTTGTGTTCTCTTACATGAGTGTCCTGATGGATGCCAATATGAATTATTTTTGTTTTAATGTTTCCTAATGTTCATTAAGCAAACCTTTCTATGAATTAATATCAGGTCCCTATGTGGTGCTATTCATTCCCTGTTACAGTTTTGGGAATTGGGATCCTGCCATCCTGAATACCCCATCTTGCTGAATCGTAAATGAAAACTCTGCTCACACCTAAAAAGTGACTGGCTTGTTCTTTGTCTACCAACTCTCTCCGCAGCTTAGTCATCTTCCACGCTTACCAGAACAAAACTTTTCAGTCTCCAGAGCAACCTAAAGCCACTGAAGACAAGTTCAAAATTATTGATGACACTTTTCACTCAAGTGTTATATCCTAGTTGCCCTCTGAGGGGCCATCATCCCAAGACTGCAGAAGAAAGCAATGGGATACAACCACACTCTAATATTTATTTTCTGTGGCAGTTCATCTGATGTTCCCACTTGGAGCAATTGTGGAGAGAATGGCCCTCAAGCAGTTCATATGCATAGTCACTGTTAGTATAGTGCTTAGTCTTGTCACATACCAGGGAGTGTTCTTTCAAACAGGAATGCGTAGAATTTCTTGCATTCCTTAGATGCCATATGCTGTGTCCACAAGAGACAATCATTGGTAATGCAGGAAATGACCTGCTATCTTAGTTACTAAAACCACCAAGAAGAGAGGACTAGGATTTAAAAGAAAAAAATGAAATGTAAGTGGGGAGGACATTATAGAAGTGCCTCAGAATAATGTTTTATTGTCACTCAAAACATCGTCTTCCTCACTTTCCACAAAGGGAATTAAGTCACAGGAGCTGCAGGTTTAAGTTCTCTGGTAGAGGTGCATGTGCTTTCTAATGTCTTATGACATATGAAATATGATCCATTGCTATGTGGTTGATCTTAGGGTAAGGATGGGTGTTTCATGTCAGGAGTGGTTTCCATGGTGAGTATGACCCAGGAATTAGGGGAAGAAAACAGTGGAACAAGGGTGTGAATTCTTTAGTGCTATTTCCCCTGCAGTCTGACTTGATGCTCAGTGTTCCTATTCTCACCCACTGGGCTCTGAATTAGGTAGAAAGAGGAAGCAGAATAGGACCCAGGCTCCCTGCCTGAGAGAAGTCCTGTTCCAAGTGTGGCAGAGTTTGGGAATATCACTGGTTCATTCAGAGTTCAAATGTATAATTGTCTCCAGATTGTATTTAATATTTAAATTTATTTCAGAAGGACAAAGCATTTTTCATAGTGGATCAGTTTGTCACAATCAAGGAAATACTTGGTTTTGCTAAGAGTTAACAAAGGCTCTTGTATTGCTATCTTCACTAACAGTTTGATTGTTGGTAAGATCAAGGCAGTATTAATTTCTATATAAGCTTTCTGCCTCTTGAGGTTTGGTTCCCCTAGCTGTTGTACAAACACACACACACACACACACACACACACACACACACACATATGCACACATGCACACAAACACAAATACACTAAATAATTAAAATGTAATATAATTTTAGATAATAAAGTAGAATGAAGCAGAAAAGACAAATGAATAAATGCTGATTTATTTTTTTTAGTGATTTACCTAAAATAACATTTGTACTGACTATTTGCCAAGAATGACTTATCTAGTTACCTACCACAGAATGATCTGGAGAAACAGCTGAAGCA